TCACAGCCAATATTTGTGTTGCTCAGCATTAAATTTGTCATTGAGAGGCTGGGGCTTTAAGGAGCTGCCCCCACTCCACGTTCTTACACCTTTCATGGGCAGTGCAGCACTGCTGGGCCCTGGAGACCCCACCCCGGCTGCCCAGGCAGAACAGAGTGGTGACCACGGCAGACAGGGCTACTGAAACCAGCCCTGCCCTGGAGGGGCCGATGAAAGGGGCCGACAGCACCACTTACTGCCTGCACCGGTCTGGCCTCCCTGCCTCCCAAGGTTCCTGGTCTCACTGCCTGCGTCCTGGCTGCCCACCTGTCCTCAATTGTGCTGTTTCCGGAAACACCTGATACCCGCAGTATGGAAGCCCAGGCAGGGTAGATCCATCTGGCTCCAAGAATGGCATCAGGATGCTGGCTCCTCTTTGTCCCCCTGCTCCGGTCGCTTTGTGTCCTCTGCTAGCTCATCCATGCCCTGCCCCTCACCTCCCACCTGAGGGCTCAAAGCAACGTCCTTGTCCCCACAGAGCCACCGGGTCGCCTGCTTTCACACGGTCAGCCCCTTCAGGTCCGTGGTTCTAACAGCGAAGGGGCCCAGGTGGGCAATGAGGGGCAGCAGTGGGGACATCTGGGAGGTGAGGACTATGGTGGAAGCAGCTGCCCATCCCCTTCTGGTCAGCCCCATAGGATGGGGGCTGGGTGAGCTGCCAGCGTGCAGACGCAGCCCTGCCCTGGGCCTCACGCTGAGGGGCTGTTCTTGCCTTTAGTCCCCAGTGTTTGGAGATCCAGAGGTGCGCTGCTCCCCAACCCTGCACTGGCCTGACCAATCCCAGCCGGGCTGAGCCTCAGACCCATGTCAGACCACAGTTGGGGCACATAGCCCATCTTGTCTAGGGTGGGGGGCTGGGTGCTGAGGGGACCCTTTACCTTCATGCCAGGGACCTAGATGTGGGGACACTGTGCCAATGTGCCTGTTCCCAGTGGGCCCCCATGAGGCCCCGGCTCCTGCCCGAGACACACCTGTCCAGGTTCCTGGAGGCTGAAGCCGCCCAGGGAGGTCTTGTCTCCGCCGGTTAGAAGGCAAGTGAGCATCACTACCAGCTGGAAGGAGAGCCCAGAACGGCCGTGACAAGCCCCAGGGGAGGCTACCTTGGGCCCAAGGCACCATGCCCCCACCCCTCCCAGGTCTCGGGGCTTCTCTACTTCGCAAGGACGGAGATGAGTCGGACTCACAGGTTGGTCCTGGGGACAGTACGGGTGGCCAAGGGATGACTGAGCCTAAACAGGCCATAAGGAGTCTGCCCTCCACACAAGTCTTTCAGGCCCCACCGAGCTCCTGTCATCCCAAGACTGAGAGCTGGAGGAAAACCTAGCCCTTGGGGGCTGCCCCAAAGCAGGGGCTCTCCGCCGGGGATTGATGAGTGGGTGGGCTCCCTCAAGCCCGAAGCTGTGACCACACCGGCATGGAGCTGCACGTATGTGGGCGCACATTCTCCTGAGGGGCATGTGATGCTCACAAGTGCTGAGGGCCCCAGGCCGTGAGACCCCGCTCTAGGACACCATGGCTGAGAAGGCAACCCCTGCATTTCCCGGTGAGGAAACCTAGATCCAGCTGTGGACTTTGGTGGGATTGTGGATAGGGATCAGCATCCAAATCTCCCAGTGCCAACCTGGGCCCATGTCCTGAAGGTCCTGATGCAGCCCCTGTGCAGCACACCCGAGTGTGGGCGCCTCCATGGAGAGGGACGGGGCGTGCGCCTGCGTGGGTGCTCATGGAGGTAGCTTCTGGGCTCTGAGCTGCCAGTAGTGCTCTGCTACTGGTTGGCTGGATGACCTTGGTCAAGACATCTGGCTCCTCTGAGCTTCGGTTTCTCCATCTGTATAATAGGCAGGATAATAACACCAATACTCATTTTGGGGGGCTGGGGAGAAGATTGAGCAAGTCCTAGGCGTAGTGTGGCGTCAGGGACCTGACCCATTTCCCTGGCTTAGGAATGCTGGCCCCAAATCAGATAAGCTTGAAGTCTGGGTGGTAGCAGGTTCCTCTGTTCTGGGGTGGACATGCTCATCTGGGGAGCCCCTGAGTTTCCCCTACTCCCTGGACTGACTCCTTGTCCTTCGAAGCCCTTGAGTACCACCCGGGGAGCATACCAACCTCCCTGGCCAGCCTCACCCAGCCCCAGGGAAATGCTGGACTTCAGCAGGGAGATGCCTGTCCCATTTGAGAGCCCTGGCAGCTGCAGGCAGTGTTACTAGAAATACGAGCACATGCCATATGGCTCACCCCAGGGGCCCTTTCCTGGGGCAGTGGGCTGGGAATCACACTTCTCCACGCTGGCCATTGAGTCAGTGGATATTTATTGTGGGCCTGCTACGCTGGGCTCTTCTTGGCACTGGGGCACAAGGCGAACACCCAGACCAGCATCTCTGCCCGTGTGGAGCTTACAGTCTAGTGGGGAGGCAGTGGGGAGATAGATCGGTGGTGTGCTGCACTGTTACATGTGCAGTGGAGGGACACGAGTCTCAGGGTGTGGGTGGGGAAGGGCTGCTGTTATCAGCAGCAGGGTCAGGCCAGGTCTCCTGAAGATGCTCTTTGAGGTTGTTGGAGCGAGTCACACCTGTAGACAAAGTGGCGGGGCGTGGGAGGCAAAGACCCATAGGAGCCAGCAAAATACTAGTTCTGGGTGGCGCGGTTTGCAATTGGCTGCTAGTCAGTTGACCTAGGGGTTGGCAGTTCATACCCATCTAGCGGCTGCATAGAAGAAAGGCCTGGTGACTGCTTCCAGGGAGATGGCAGAGAAGACCATCCTTGGGATCGTCTTAGTCTGAGTTGGCATGGATTCAGCCACAAAGGCTGTGTGCATGTCTCCAGTGACAGGCACGAGCCCAGATAAAGTGGCTTCGTTCCAGCTCATTTAATAGTCCAGTGCAGGTGATCCTTGGGGCAGTGTGTCCTTCCATGCAGTGACTCAGGGCCTTCCCCCACCTCCCACCTTTTCATTTACATCTCGCAGGAAGATGGGGACCGTGATTATAGAGAAGACGCAGCTTCAGCATCTTGGCCTGGAAGGGCTGTTTCTGCTGCCGGGGCGAGGCAGTACAGTGTGTGTGTGTATGCAGTCCTGCTTCCCAGAGCAATGCAGTGTGTGTGTGTATGTATGTATGTATGTATGTATGTATGTATGTGTATGTGTGTGTGTATGCAGTCCTGCTGCCCGGGGCAGTGCAGTGT